AAAATTTAATAGAACAGCAAGCAACAAATGCTGGCGAGGTTGTGAAGAAACTGGAACCCTTATTCACTGTTGGTGGGAGAGTAAAATGGTGCAACCACTATGGAAGGCGGTATAGCGCTTTCTCAAAAAGTTGGAAATAGAAATACCATTTGACCCAACAATTCCACTACTGGGAATATATACCAAAGAAACCATAACTGCCACCCAAGCAAATATATGCACACCCATGTTTATCTTGGCTTTGTTCACAATAGCAAAGAGTCGGAAACAATCTAAGTGCCCTTCAACAAAGGAATGGATAGAGCTGTGGTATATTCACACAATGCAATACTATGCCGCATTGAAAAACAAGGAACTCATGAAATATTCAAAATGGGTGACCCTGGAGGACATTATGCTGAACGAAATATCTCAGTCACAAAAGCACAAATACTGCACAGTGCCACTGTTCTAAAACGGGACTGACATGGGGGTTGGAGGGAGACTTAGAAAGATGGGATGAATAATGTATACTGTATTCAAACAGATGAGGGAGAAAACTGTTTAAAAGGGTTATGTGATTAGGTATTATTGTCATGACTGGAGAACGAAGGCTGTATAGTGAGGTGGACATGGGGAGTGGGATTGTTATAACAATGAAAGAATTTTTCTTTTACTTTTCAAAGAGAAGAGTGAATTGGGCGAGAGAGGACAGGGGTGGGCAGGGAGAAGAGTGCAACAATGAATGAATGGAAATCCAAGGTCTCTGTAAATTTTCATTAAAAATAATAATAAAAATTTAATATAAAAAATTAAAAACAAAAAAGTCAATAAATTTAAAAAAATTCAGCGGCTAACTAAAAGGTTGAAGGTTCAAATACACCAGCTGCTTTAAGGGAGAACAATTTATCAGTCTGCTTCCATCAAGTATACAAACCTGAAAACCTTTGGACGTTCTGCTCTATTGTCCTCTGCTGTTCACCAGAGTCAAATCTGATGTCAGTGGTTTTGATAGGTCGTTTATTCAAGTTAAACATCCACGTTTACATTTTGATATAGGTATGCTCAATTTTGCATTTCCTGAAGTCTGTCATCTTATTTGTACTTAATGGTCTAAAGTGCTTAATCCAGGAATATATAAATCTGTTCATGTTCTTCTTGTTGTACTCTCGAGGAGGGCGGGAATGGCCCACAGGTGACTCTCCAGCGGGTTTTCAGAGGCAGTTAATCACATAGGAGGAGATTGCCCATCCTGCCCTGCTCCTGTGGAGCAGCAGGGTGGATTTTGAAAGCCAGTGCCTTCATGACTGCAGCGCAGCCTCTTGCCACTAGGCCACGAGAACTCTAAGTAACTAAATTTCTTGTTTACAGACAGACGTTTTCTTCTCTTATTCACCATGGAATGTTATCTTATTCACCAAGGAATGTTATCTTATTCACCATCATACTTCTCAGTGCCAAACTAGCTAAGTACTTTGCATTCTTGTTTTCAGTCATTAATGAGTGAAAGAAACACATTGCAATTTTGCATATCTTCTCTAGACATAAAGACAGCCATGTTCTGTTACCTGCCAGGCCTTTAAGTATACATGATTATCAAAGAAGGTCGGTCTTGTGTTCAAGTCTTGTATCCTTAGAATCTAGAAAATACTAAAAAACAAACAAACAAACAAACAAACAAAAAACCAAAACCCAAAAACAAAACAACTAAATGAGGGGAGAAACCTTTATCTGGAACTGTATAAAATTCACATCCTAAATGTCAATTTCGTCACCAACTCCCAGCTTGCTCTGTCCATCTTCTTTGAAAACTGTACGGTATTAAGAGGTGTCAATTCTAATGAGAAAACTGACTTTTTTCAGAAGTAAAAGCTTCACACTCCATGCATAGTGAGGCCAACTTAACTAAACCGCAAAGACTTGGCTAATTTAAGCACAGGCTAATTTATTATTATTACTTTGAGTGCGATGGCCAATATCCACAACTGCCCAGTCGTTTCAATTAGTCGTTTCTCTAGTGATTGGTGGGGGGTAACCACTTCTCAGCCCACAAGACTGGGGTTTGCACAGTGCCATCGTCTCTAAACTTGGGAGAAAATCCAGCTTTTTGAATCTGCTTCTTGTAAACACAGTCCCTTAATTTTCCATATTACAAACAGGGGAAAGAAATCTCCAGGGCCTTCCAGAAAGCCCTCTTCTTCATAAGCTGCTACTACTCCCACTTCTGAGCCACGGGGAGGGTGGGGGAGATGGGAAGGGATGGTTAGGCACACATCGGGTCTAAAAAGGAAAAGCCAAACAAACCGCCCTTCCTTGCGCTTTTAAAGAAGCCGCTCGCGGTCGGGCTGCTCTGGAGTTCAACTTCCGGCCACACAGCGGGGAGGATGTTTTCCTACTGGATCAGACTCCGCGAGGGCGCGCCTCCGGCCACGCCCCCAACCACGCCTTCTGAGCGCGAGCTCGGGAGGTGAGCGGGCGCGCGCGGGGCGGGGCCACGTGGGCTGCCGGGGCGCGGTTCGCCGAGGGGCGCGCAGTCAAACAGAGGCACGCCTGGGGTCGGTGGAGGGCGTGGCGGCGCGCGCGCTCTCCTGGCGCCCTTCCCCGTGACGTGCCTGACCGAGGCCGCGCAAGGGCGCTGTAGCTGCCAGTGCCGCTGTCATGGCGTCTGAGGCGCTGGCTGAGGAGAGCCGACCGCGGTCTGGATAGAGCCAGGGCGGGCGGCCCGGTATGGAGAGCGGCCCTGGGATCCTGCAGCCGCTAGAACACGGAGAGGAGACCGGGCCAGCTTCGGGGACGGATTCTCCGCAAGAAGTGCCACCAGAGACCCAGCTTGGTTCAGGGGTATGGACGACGGAGAGCGGCGCCCGGAATGGTCAGGGGGCGGCGGCCACTGGGAGGAACCTCCTGGACTCGGCTTCTCCCGCGAGCTCATCTCAGGCTCCCGGACTCTGTGACTCCTTCCCGAGCTTGAACTTGCAGGAAGGCGATTTTGAGAGTTCTGCGGCTGCAGAAGCGCCTCTAAGAGGGCAGCGCAAGGTGACCGCCTCCCCGGAGACAGCTGCGGCCGGAGCGAACCTGGGGTTGAGTCCGTCTGGAGATGCAGGAGCCCGCGTGGACCCTGCCGACACCTGCGGGGCCGAGGTGGCGGCCGCCGGCTCGGAGGAGCCCAGCAGCGCCGGCGGCCCCAGCAGCTGCAGCGAGCCGAGCCCTCCCGGGGAGTCGCCGAGCCTAGACTCCCTGGAGTCCTTCTCTAACCTGCATTCTTTTCCCAGTAGCTCGGAGTTCAATAGTGAGGAGGGAGCGGAGAGCAGGGTTCCGGAGGAAGAAGAGGGCGCGGCAGTATCGCCCAGGGCTGTCCCTCTGTGCAAGGACGAGGAGGAGGAGGCCGCTCAGGTGCTCGCAGCCTCCAAAGAACGCTTCCCGGGACAGTCTGTCTATCACATCAAGTGGATCCAGTGGAAGGAAGAGAACACACCCATCATCACTCAGAATGAGAATGGACCCTGCCCTTTGCTGGCGATCCTCAATGTTTTGCTTCTGGCATGGAAGGTACATTCTGTAGCTTTCTACTTCCTATAGCTATTGGGGAGGGCGGTGGGCAGCTGGGTGAGGGAGCTGCCCTCTGTCAGCTGATGGCTTCCTCCTTTCCTTCCTCATTCTTAAGTTCCCATTAACTCTTTCATGAAATTCACTCCCAGACTCCCTTGGTGAAAGACAAATTTCAGGTGTATTTCAGAAAGAATTGCCCTCATGCATCTCTCTTGTAGTGTTAAAACATGAGTTTAGCATTTAAAGATGTGGTTGTGACATTTACAAACATTTGGCACTAGAGCATTATTTTATTATTTTAACACTATATCATTAAGATGCTGTTCCATTTACCTGAATCTATTACATGTGCAACCCAGTGAAGAATTAGGGGAAGTGCTCTTCATTCTGCTGTCATGGAGCAAGTTTTGCTGATTATGTTTGGTCAGTTTACCAACCAATGTTTGTCCCTGTTAGGCAGGCATTCTTCAAGGAATGGTGATAGAGAAGATATGGCTATTTAGACAAATTCCATGTAAGGAAAAGCATTGGTGTGACACCCAATTATCATGATTTCTTGGCTACCAAAGATTGTGTTTTCAGTTTATACCAGCTTTTTGTCTCTTTTGGGGGGGATCTACCTAAATGGCTTCTTGTTATTACCAATAACCATACATTAGAATATGCCAAGTGAGGGGGAATAATGCCCTTCTATAGTAACTATATTGAAGATTTAGAGTGAGTTAACCTTTAAATGAAGTGTCTTATTTGAGCTTGCAGTTTTAGGACAATAAAAAGTTGCATCTCCCCAAGTACCTACATTATCTTTAAATTGATAATGATATTCATAAATTAAATACTCCCTAGAAAAAAAAGAACTTTTATTATTTTGGCCAGTTAGGAAGAAACTTAATAAAGTAAATGGTACTTATGACATGATTTTATTTTCTTACAGATAGCAAGGACTAATAAATAAAAATTAGCAATATTGTCTATATATGGTACGTTATGCCATTCAAATATGTTTTGCGTGAAGACAGAGCTTGACGTTAAAGAACTATCAAATTATTTGGGATTGCACCATTGAATTATATTATTAAAGAACATAGGCTAGGGCAGATTTCAGATCCCTTGTCCAGAGAATTGCTGTGATTCACAGTTAAAGGCTCATAACAACAAGAACAACAATTAAAGGAGAATAAGTGCTATAAATTTGAGAGTATATGAAACACGTTATATATCTAAAAAAGGGAAACATTGTCCTAGAGAACTTAATGGAATTTGTAAGTCTTGAACCAAACTTTTAAGGAAGAGTAGGATTTAGAGTAGCAGGAAAATGAAATCTCTTTGGGAGGTAATAGTAAAGACAAAAATGAATGAAAATAGAATAGCCATTGGATGTAAATATTTATTGAATGATATGAGGGCATAGGGAATGGAGAATAATAGAAAATAAAATTGGGATATTTGAAGTTGAATCACTTGGTGGAGATCCTATAGCCAGAATCCCCAATCTTTTTGTAGAAGGAATGTCTAGTAGTTTCCTCAGGCTTTAAAATTTTTTTTTTTTTCCCTTGTAAACAGCTTTATTCATTTTTGAGAATCATGCAGCAATCCATAAATATTGCATCCTTGAGGTCCTCACTGTAAGGTGCCCGCAGGTGTCCTTCAGGGAGTAGAGGGGTGCACAGGGCACAAACTGGACACACAGGCTTTAAAATTTTTATTCCGATAAAAACGTACATGACAAAACATTTGTCAGCTCAACAATTTTTGCTCATTTTATTCAGTGATGTTGATTAATTCATGTTGAACACCCATTATCATTATCCTTTTTTGAGTTATTCTTCTACCATAAATGTTAACTCAATGTCCCCTATGCAATCCCCCTTCCTTCTCCCTCCTACCTCTGATAAAGGCAAGTCAGCTTTGGTTTCTATTTATTTGCCTGTTTTATGTAAGTGAAATTATGCAGTATTTGTGTTTTAGTGACTTATTTTGCTCAAAATGATGTTTTCAGAAGTTCTTCCATACTGTGGCATGTATCAGGACTTCATTTCTCTTTTTGTCAGGGTAGTCGTCCACTCTTTGTGTGTACTACATTTTGTTTAGCCAGTCTTCTGTTGATGGGCTTTTTCAGTTGTTTTCACCAATTTGTTATTGTGCTGCACTGAACACTGCAGAAATCTACAGATGTACAGATTTCTGTTTGCATTCTTAACATTGCTAGGTCATACATTAGTTCTTTGTTCACCTTTTTTAAGAACTGATAAACTATTTTAATAGTGTCTCTTCCCACTACTTGGCATTCCCACTAGGGATAGGTGAGAGTTTCATAACCTCCACATTATCACAACCCTTGCTATTTTCCATTCTGTTTTGATCATAGTCTTTCTAATGGAAGTGGTATAGTATCACTTTGTGCCTGTCATTTGCAGCTTTCTAAGTTAGGATGAATGCCATGGTAAAGGTTTTTGTTTATTAGTTTTCATAATGGCTCATGAAAGGAGTTAATGGTGCCACAACAGTTGAGTGGCCGCTAACCTAAGGATTGCCCAAGCCAGTCCACACATCTGAACCCACCCACTCATGGTCAAAAGGCCCGGATGATCTGTTCTCGTAAAGATTACAGCCTAACAAATCCTTAAAGGTCCCTCTGCCACATGGAGTTACTACCGTGAGTTGAAAACGTCTCACTGGCACCCAACAACAACAGTGGCTCATGAAGTTGAATAACTTTTTGTGTGCTTTTAGCTATTTGCATTTCATATGTTCTTTGCTGATAAAGCCCTTTGATGAACAAAAAGATTTCATTTTTATGAGACCTCATTTCTCTATTTTATCTTTTACTGTTTATACTTTTTTGTATCATATCTGAGTTAATTGTCAAAAAAGGTTCCTTCAGACTTCTTTGTTCTTATTATCTACATAGTACTACAGAAGTTAAGAGGAAGGAACAAGAACTGTGGTTTAAAGCACTTAGGGATCAGCACTCAAACTTGATGCCAGTTCACAGCAACCCTTCAACACCCTCCATCAGTTTTCATAGGCTGTAAATAGCATTAGGAGGAGACTATGTATCTTGCTCCTGTGGAGCTTATAGAGGATTTAAACTGTGGGAGATGTATAATCTTTCAGTTACAAGTGCAACTGTCTCTGTGAGATAGTTCAAGTGAATGATGAAACATTTGTATAAGGTATAGAAATACAAAAATATCTGCTTTCATGTATCACACTGACTAGTGGGGGAGGCTCACATATAAACAATAATCATAACACAATGTGACAAATTCTAGAGGGCGTAAAATGTGTAATTACAGAGGTAGAGTAATTGGGAATGATATGAGTCTAAGGAAGACTTTGTAGGAGAGCTGGGGTTACAGGCTGAACAAGAGAAACTCTTCCAGGGAGGGGGAATACTGGTTTAAAAGATGCTGAGGCAAAGGTTCGTTCCATTTGTGGATACAGTTTTGGATGGAGAATAGGAAATAAAGTGATGGTTTGGATCAGACTGTGAATGAGCAGGTATGCTTGAGTTTGCAGGAGGGTTTTTTGTTTGTTATTTTGGGGGGTTTTTTTAGCAGAACAAGTGGAAAAGATTTATTAAGATAACAAGAAAGAGGCATAGCTAGTGAAAGGTAGGCCACACAGGAGTTCAAGTGAAAAAGAAGAGGGAAAAGGGCTAAAGGACCCCTGGAAAAACAGGAGTGAACCCAAACCTTAGAGCAGGCTTTAAGCAGAAAAGGAAAGAAAACCTGCAGATTGTTTGATACATCTGATTTTCAGATTTCTTTCTGCCTTCAGGCTATTGATGTACACAAAATTCACTCAGCAGTAATCAGTCTTCCACAGTAGATAGGGAAACAGATAAAGTGAAGCCAGATCTGGTAGAGCAGTGTTCTCAAAGTGAGCTAGGGATTCTAAGGGTCAAACCATCTTTATGATAGTACTAAGATGTTACTTTCCTTTTCCACTCTAATTCTCTTACAAGTATCAGTGAAGTTTTACAGGCTAAGTGATGGATGATGGCATCATAGTTCTGATGGCTAGTAGAATATGTACCTCTGCATTTTTCTGTTTTAAAATGTTCTCAATATTTATTTTTAACATGGTAAGCAACACCGTGAGTGACAGGATTATATCCATATGCTTACAAGGAAGCCCAGTGAAT